GTTAACAGGAACAACAATTACTCCATTTTCTTTGTGCCCTTATGTGGCAGGCTGGTGACACTATAGGGGGAACAGTATCTGAAAACACAAAGACAAAGAGGTTTTTGTTCTTTGGAATTTTCCTATGCTCAGAAAACAGGGGAGCAAAGCCCTGAGCCCAGTCCCCTGGAAAAGCCTTCCGAAGTCTTAAGATATTCTGTGTTTGGGTGGTGGCAGAGACGGGAGGAAGCGACATTCCCAGACCTCCTAGGAGCCCAAGGGCTTGAGGCTGGTTAAAACCACTGCCTGGGGCGAATTTTTGAGCACCTGGAAAGATGGTCAGCAACTGGATGAAAACAAACTGAAGCAAGGATTAAGGAGACAAGGAATGTCCTTGAGAAAACTTGACCAGTTGTACTGATACAAAGAAAGGTGCTTCCTAGTCCTTGATACCATCACCTGAGGGAGGTGTGGTGGGGCTGTCCTTAACGACGGGGGGGGGGGGGGGGTACGCACAGCATCTGGGAAATGAGTATCGAAGATACAGCTCTATGGGCATCTGGGTGGCTCAGTGGGTTAAGCGTCTGCCTTTGGCTCAGGTTATGATCCCAGGGTCCTAGGATAGAGTCCCGCACTGGGCTCCCTGCTCCACAGGAAGCCTGCTTCTCCCTTTGCCCCTCCCCCTACTCTTGCTCTCGTGCACGCTCTCTGTCTCGCAAATAAATAAATAAAATCTTGGGATGCCTGGGTGGCTCAGTCATTAAGTGTCTGCCTTCGGCTCAGGTCATGGTCCCAGGGTCCTGGGATCGAGCCCCACATCAGGCTCTCTGCTCGGCAGGAAGCCTGCTTCTCCCTCTCCCATTCCCCCTGCTTGTGTTCCCACTCTCGCTGTGTCTCTCTCTGTCAAATAAATAAAATCTTAAAAAATAATAATAATAAAATAAATAAAATCTTAAAAGAAAAAAGATATAGCTCTAACCTGGGAGAGGAGGCTCATTCTGATTCTGGACCCTGGTTCTGATACAGTGGCAGCCAGGTGGGGTCTCCTGAAGGCTCTGTTTCCTCTGACCAGTGAGCATATTCACTCAGTCCTAGGAATGCCCACAGTCTTCTGACCTAAAGCTGGGTCTTGTTAGACTCTAAGGGAAGGTCCAGATTATAAACAAGTACTAGGTGCTTCTGGCTTGTACATTAGTTGGTTGTGGGTTGTGTTAGTGTAACTCAGTCTCTCAGGCTCTGATCAACTCTGCCAGAAAAGACAAAATTGGGGGTGTGGCCCTGCAAAGCTCAGGACCAGGTCCCCAGGCTTGGGGGGCTGAACTGGGATTCAGTTGTCCTGTGTGACCCTCTCTGAGCAGCTATCAGCCATGCTCAGGACCCAATCCTGCAAGCACTGTGGTCACATTAGCAATTCAATGGCTTCAAATCTCTCCCTATCTCAGCCATTTTCTCTCCAGTTTTAGAAACACACAAACAGAAAAATTAACTGTTAATTTCAGAAAACGCAGAGAAGAAAAAGAAAAAAAAAAACCCGCCCACACTCTCACCATCTATGGATAACGAAGACTGACATTACTTCTGGCATTAAAATAATAGAAAACAATAATTTTAAAAAGCACAACAAAAAAAATCTTTCTTCAGAGGCTATTTTAATTGTTGGAATATATATAGTGGTGCTTCTTGGTCTTTTTATGTTTTTTCCAGGTCCCTCTAACTTAGTTAGTCTAGCAAGTGCAGTGCTGGACACGAACGAAATCCTGGGAGGGCTTTGACCAGCATAAGCAGAGTTCTCAAGTTCCTCTTTAGGCTTGTGCCTCTTTAGTTATGGCACTTTTACAAGTGCCTCCCAGAAACACGCTTACTTTGGGAACTTACATTCAGCTTGTGGTTCTCTATGCCCCTCAGATCCATGCAACCACAGAGTCTATAATGCACATCTGGTCAGAACTCCCCACTCGAGTCGAGCCTGCAAGGTATGCAGCCTTGAGTTGCCCCACCTACCTGGAAATCCATGGGTCGCCCGGCACATGGCTCCATCTTAATGTCTGGTTTGGACCTGAGAAAGAGAATGTATAGTCAGGCCTGGTGTAAGGGGACCGCTTGCAGGGGAGGAGGCAGGCACCGGCAGTGGTTGGACCCCGGCAAACAGCAGAAGGACAGAATCATGGGCTTCAAACACTCCAGGACTGTCAAACAGAATGGGGATGGGGATTAGTTGTTCTCAGAGGCCCCAAGAGAGAGGACTAGCTAATGACACAAGTGACAGAGAGATAGTAGGTCAACAGGTTCAGATGTGGGCTGGGCAGCTCTGTGATTTCCCTTAGCCTGGAGGTGTTCAGTGACCTGGGAATAGGCTCCTGACTTTGTAGGGACCGAGGTGTGAGAGACATCCCAGAAAAGAAGAAAGGGGCCGGGTTAGGAAGCTGGTGGGGGACCCTGATTCTTCCCCACCCCAATTCCACACACTGCGGGGTCCTGCCTGATGGGGCAGAGGCAGTTTGGGCTTCGTGACTCCTGCATACTCACCGCTTGTTGGAGACATTGGTGGTGAGAGCTGTGACAGAGGCTAGAGACATGGAGTCGGGGTCCAGACCATCCCCCAGCCGAATGGCCAAGCCGTCAAGGTCCTCCATCTCCAGCACTGCCGGTTCATCTGCCAAAGAAGAAAGGCCAGTTAGGTGGACTGGATGGTGGGATACAGACTCTCTCCCTTTTTGCTTCGGCATCCAGGAAGCTAACAGCCAATTTCTGGGTTTACTTGGTAGCATCTGTTTAGAATGTTATGGCCCATATATCTGCAGTGTTTCCTAACTAATCTTGGTCTTTGATTTTAATTGATATTGTATCTGGTCTTGTTTTTGTTTTTTAGTTTTAGTTTTTTAAAAGACTGATTTGAGAGAGAGAGAGAGATCGAGCAGGAGGGGCAGAGAGAGACTGAGAATCTCAAGTAGACTGTGCAGAGCGTGGAGCCCCATGTGGGGCTGGATCCCAGGACCCTGAGATCATGACCTGAGCTGAAACCCAAGAGTTGGACGCTTAACCAACTGTGCCACCCAGGCGCCCCCAGAGTGATCTTTCTCTGCTGCCCTGCTGCTCTGTCAGCTCCCAGGCCCCAGCCTGCCTCTCCTCCCCGGAGCCCTCCCTGCAGCCTGGTGAGAAGGCTTGGGGAAAGCCAGGACAGTAAGTCCTGCCACTGAGCAAGCATTCTCAGGACAGGCTGGTTTCCCCTCCCCCAGAAATAGGGGACTGGTCCAACCACTTTCGTTTTTCGTTATTCCCTTCTCTAATGAACAATCTCTAGGCTTCTGTGTGCAGGAAAAAAGGGGGGAGCAGAGAGGGCAGGAGGAGCCTTTAATAAACAGGCCCATCCAACAGTGGGTTCTGCTCAGTTCTAGACCAGAGGAGATGCTCTTCCCACCCTTAGCGCTAGGAGCGCCCCCTTCCCAAAGACCACCTTCAGGACCGGGCTCCGCCGGCAGCCAATGGGAGGCTAAGGGCCCGCCTAGGAGGCCTCGCCGGCCAATCGCAGGAGAGCCTTTTGGGGCGCTGCCCGCGGAGGGGAGGGGTTTGGTCTCTGTCAGGTGCGGAGAGATGGCCTCGGGCTTGGCGGGGCTGCGGCGCGCGTCCGTACCGTGTCTTTGGGGTTCCTCCTTGTGGGGCCGGTTCTTGCCGAGCTTCATGGCCGAGAACACACTCCTCCCGGCTCTGTGAGGCGGGTGCCAGAACGAGGTGGAGGGAGATGGACGCCAGGAGGAAGACACACAAACACAGGAGAGCAAAAACGGAGAAAGAACACGTAAGAGAAAGGAGCTGCATACGAGAGCCCCTCACGTGCTGGTCCCGAGATATGTTGGGGGACAGACTTTCTAAAGCGGGAGCCAGGAGGGGGAATTAGGGCAATCCTAAGAGGAGACCCCACCACTTCCTCCTCCCCCGTGCCTTCGCACCACTAGAGGAGCAAGCCAGGGCCCAGCGATCAGAGAAGGTGACCTTCGGCTGGAAAGCACGGTTTTAACTGGAGCCCCCCTGGGGCCTGCGCTGATCTCCTCTCCCTCAGTCCGGTCTTAGAGCTCTGAGCTCCATCATGCCTCCGAGCTCCTCCTCCCTACCCAAGCACCCCACCTCAGCTGGTTGAAAAGAAAACCAGATGACCGGAGACCAAGCCTCAGGACAGACGGACAGGAACAGGATCAGAGCGCAGAGGACAAGGAGGAGGTGGGGGATGTGGTTGAAACTAGCGGCTCGGTTCTCAAATGGTGCTGGTGATCAAAGCTTGCCTTGTCTTTCCCAACCTCTCCATGCCCTCGGATTCTCCTTGGTTCCCAGTGAGGAGGAGGAGATGGGCCCTTTCCCATCTGTCTTTGGTGCTGGCTTCCACCCCTTCTGCCTGTCCCCACTCACTGTGGAATCCCCCCTTTCAACCAACCCCCAGGAACGTATGCAGACTCCATAGTTCCTACCTCTTTCTTTGGCTTGGAGTGGCCTTGTACCCCCAGGTGAAGGGCCTTGCAGTCGGGGGGTGCTGAGGGAAGGGGGCAAGGGCCGTCAGTGTCCCTTCAGTGATGTCCCTGCAGCCGAGCCTGAGGTCCCTGGTGCCAGCAGGGACCCGGAGTAGGATCAGTGGGGGGTAAAGTGCAATATTCCATTACCCCATCAATATTGCAAGAGCTGGATACCTGACTCCTTCCTCTTCCCATTCTCCCTCCTCCTGGGTGTGGCTCGTCATCCTGTAGGCCCAGGTGGGGCAAGACGGAGGCTCCAACTCTGAGCTCACCTACAGCAGAGCCCACCCACCTTTGGGTCACACATCTCCCTGTGGAAACTTGACTATGGTTCCCAAGACCCCCTGCTCTTTATGCCGGGTAATGTGAGGTTGGGCAAAACCTTTCTGTCCTTGTAGGGATGGCCTAAAAACCTCAAGCCCCTCTACTCTATGTTGGGGGCCAATCTTATTCCCCCAAATCTGGCCCGACCCTAACCCCAGGCCTTTCTTTCCTCTTCTTTGCTTTCTTTACTCCCAGGCAAGACGTGGAGGGTTATGAGTCTGCATCCCAGTGAGAGAGCGACCAAGAACCCTTCCGTGTGCACCAGCTCACCGCTTAGAAAATAGCAGTGTATCCACGGTTTCCTAAAAAGTCACGAGGTGGGTGAAAGAAGGCTGGGGTAACACTGATGTGTCCACACTAGCCAGCATCATGTTGTCTGGAACGTCACAATGGGGGAGAGGGAAAGGATGTTTCTCCCCTTCTAATAAGGGGAGGTATATACCTATGTGCCAACAAGAGATTAATTATATAATTTTTCCTGAGCACCTACTGTGGGCCAAAGGCTTTTAGATGTTTGCTCATTTTATCTTCATAGCAATCCTGGGAGGGACATACACTTTTCCTCATTCAGCCCAAGGAAAGACTCAGAGGCTCCGAGCGCCGGGGTTGAAGCGCAGAGCTCCTGCCTCCGAGGCCGGCAACTCCTGCACCCTCGGCCCACGATAGGATTGCACTTCCCTGTCGGTGGACATCACATCCTGACCATTTGGAACTTCGGTGAAGAGTCTCCAGGACCTGCACTTGTAGGTGTAAGTGTGGGCCATGGACCAGCACAACCCGCAGATGGGGATGCCGTCTGTGAAGAGTCCCACAGACTACCCAGGTTTACTTACAAAGAAGGGGCTTGTTCACAAATAATCTCAACCTCAACACATTTTGGAAGAGACTGCCATGAAGGTTAATGGCTGGTGACAAAACATGGAACAGGTCAGTGACCTCATCAGGAACAACTGAGTGGCCGTGAGAACGGACCAAACTGCCTGGCTCACACTGGCCTGGTGGCCTTAAGGGCGGGGGTACTGGCTACATCTGACCCCTGCAACAGGATGCATGCCTAGTGTAGGTCCTCACTCTGCTTCCTGTCTCAGTGTTTGGGACTCCATTCTGCCCAGCTTTTCTGCTCTGACTGCCGCTCACGTGGATTACCCAGGAGTCTCCTGGACGGCTGGCTTTGTACAATCGCTTCTTGGCCATTTCTGGGTCACGCCATCCTGAGTCCCCAGTCTCATGCTGTGTGGGACCTACACAATGCCATCACACATAGCCTGCTCCTCAGCCCCCACCCCTCCGGGCTGCCCCCCCACATCCTGTTCCCCTTGCCCTAAAGCTCCTGGGAAAGTGCTCTGAGATTGTAGGTCAAAGCATTGTGTTAGGTCAGAAGCAGGTCCAGCCTGGAGAAGCCGGCTGCTTGGCATCCTGGGACAGGGGCTGTATCTGCTGCCTGAGGCCTGGAGGGGGTTCGAGTAGCAGGGAATCGCGGCTTTCTGATACTGGTCCTGAGGACCCACCCAAGCAGAAAAGAGCCTGGGGCTTCCCTTGGGTAGTTATGGCCCTTGAGTTTGAAAGTTACTTTCTTTCTTAAAACAAATATATTTGGAAGCAAAGATTAAGACGTAAAAAAACCCAAAACCCTATGCTCTCCCACTATTCTCTACTATACCCTGAAGCCAATCAAAGGAGAAACCCCTCTTCCCAGACCCTGCATAATTTTAAGCATCTCAGGTGGACAGGTTCACCGGTGGTACTCCTATGTGCTGGAAATATCTCAAAATGATGATTTCTCCCTTAATGAAAAATGCAGAATGTGTAGGGTAAATGTAATTTCCAAAATTCTTACTGTGGGCCTTCCACCTGTTTGCTTCTCCTAGACCTGCTCTTCAGTTCATCTGGACAGCCTGCAGTAGAGCGTGATGTCACTGGCTTGCACTGCCCTATGGAGCTTTCTGATCAATGACACATCAGAAGTTCACACTAGAAGCAGCGTCTCCTGCCTATTACTGCACTGCTTCCAGAAAGACCATGCCTGCTTCCCTTGGCAAAGGGGAAAGGTGATTTTCGGAATAAATGTTAACTTAGGCAGGGATTATTGAAGATTATCCACTCATGTTAAAGACTAAGATTTCCAAAATGTGGAATTCGTTGACTAGGTGACTGGTGCGCTGGTGTACTGAATTTTGGTTTTCGTTTTTAAATAAAATGCCGCCTTTTATTAAGAGACAAAGAAAACAAGCCAATCATCAACTCAGTGAAAAACTACTTTGCAACCAAGTGGCTCCTCATTCACGGCTGCAGGAAAAAAGAAGCTGGAGCCAGGGGAGGTGGGCCTCTTCGGGCCCTCTGAGGATTCAGGGTCACATTTGGGCTTCCCCGTTGCTGGATTCACTGCAGGCAGAATGATATGCACCTAACAATGTAGATCACTCTTTCCCTCTACGGAAAAGATTTTAACGTTAGTTCACTCATTTGTAAACTCTTTTTTTAAATTTCTGGACCTGATGATTTCTCTGCTGGTTCCACGGCTCAGATCTAGAAGGATGCCGTGGTTGGGGGATGCACTCAGGGCCCCTCGGGAACCCTGGCCAAAATAAATGTTGTGAATTCAGGTCTGTGTATTCTTCTAGAGCTGTGCCTTAGGGGCTGCTGTGCTTGACCATGGACTCCAGGCCTGGCTGCCCACGGCTCTGCCCTGAGACCACCTTCAGTCCTCACAATCCAGGCTCACCAGCTCAGGCCTCAGGTAATCAGGAGGAACTCCTGCCTGAGAGGAACAGGTCTCTGGCTCTCCGCATTGTTGAAACAGCCACATTTTCCAAACTTGGGGGCATGTGTTCCAAGTGCCTTCTTGGTGGGTTTTATTTCTTAATTCCCTTGTCCCAAGTGCAGCTAATTTCATAATTGCAGGCTGTAGAGTTGTTTTTCACAGTGTGTTGAATTTCAGTTAGTTTCAAAGAGCTTCCCACATCTGGGCAGGATAGGTCGAGCCTTCATACAAGAACCTGTCTCTGAATTGGCGTGTTTGCCCGTGCACCCTGGGGCAAGCAAGAGGCTCGGGAGGCCCTGGTGTACAGAGGCCCACAGTTCGCCTGGAAGCTGGCTCCTCAGCTCTCCCCGGTGGCCAACCCCGTGCAAGACTCAAGCAAACAGCCTCAAGGCAATGGATTCCCACCTCCCCAAGTCAAGCTCTCCCCACATCTCACGGACTCACGGGGAGCACGTGTCCTCTCATGGCCGGATCCTTCAGTTTTTCCTACTGCAACTGGCATATCCTTCCACTTATTTCTGCTCAGGGGAGCTCCAGACTAGCCCCCTTTGCCACACAAGAGCCTTTCAGAGATTTAAAACGGTTTTTATAATTGTTCTTCCCCAGGCGAAAGAGTTTCGACTGGTTTATAATCTCTTTTTAGCAATCCCATTTCCCTCTCCTTTCAATCCCCCTCCTGCCCTACACAATAGAATACAAATAAAAATTGCCGTTTGACTTTATCCCCTGTGTTGCCTAGAGATGACAAGAGCTTCAGATCAGGTAGCGCTAGGGACCCAGCATTTACAGCGGGGCTACAATGTGCCCGCGCCGCGAGGCGCCTCAGCTGCGGCCAGTCTGCGTCGCTGGGGGTCTGGCTTGGGACAGACTGAGGAGCTGGAAACCAGGCAGGGCCCTCGAGCATCGCCACTCGCAGACAGAGCCCAGGGGAGGGACAGGCTGTTCACACCTCCTGTGGAGGCCTTTTACATCTAAGCATCCATACGGGCCTGACCCCTCGAAACCTCTCCCTACGAGGGACTCCCAGCTCAGCATCTGCATCATCTCTCACCTCCCCCCCACCACCACCCCCGGATTCAGCTCTCTGGCTCCCTCTCCAAGCCTGGTGTGAGCCCTACCTTCGGCTCCTTCCCGTGCTCGGAGCATGGCACATTCCTCCACCCTACAGGTGCCTGGGCCTGAACTTTCCCCACGCGGTGCCACTGCCTTGTAGTGCTTTTGCTCGTGTGTAACAAGTGGGAGTTGGAACTCAATAAGCTTTTGTTAAAGCACTGGATGACGATGAGTCCCCCGGGATCTTAATGCAAGCAGAGGTCTCAGGCCCATACCCCATACCCGTGCTGACCACCCCAGACCCCTAAAGGCACAGTCCTGGTGTCCCCATGATGTTCTCATGTCTCAACTAGTTTTTAGCTTATTGGCATCACATTCTGGGGTAAATCTCTTAACATCTCCGAAGCTCAGTTTCCCTATCTGGAAAATAAAGACCACCTGCTTGGCTTTTCAGCTTGCATCAGTGTCTCTGGAGAATTAAATTAAATTTAGAGTACAGTCAAGGGCTCTGAACTCCCTGGGTCTATTGTTAACTCTGGGTCAGAAGCTAAGTTGCCTGTGTTGTTATCCCAGCTCTGCCCCTATTCTGGCGCAAGTTACTTCCCCTCTCTGGGACTCAGATTTGTCATCTCTAGGAGAGGGCTGTGGCCCAGAGACCCCTCCAGCTGGTCAGCCCTGACTCCTCCTCCTGTGAATTCCCAGGATGCTAGAGAGTTCTTGGGACAGCATGTGCTTTTGAGGGACCCCGGGAGACCTACTCATCAGCCCCGGGCCTTGAGCCTTTCCAAGCCCCTGTGGCTGGCCCCTCTCACCTGGGCTCCCCACCTCTGCCCTCTCCCAGCTAGCCCCTGACTTCTCCCTCCCACAGGAAGCCTTTTGGGGGATGGAGATTGTGCAGACAACCAGAGAGTGCTCATCTGCTCGTCTCCCCTTAGCTTTCAGGGGCTTCATGTCCCAGCCACCCCTGTGGCCACTCTGGGCCCGGAGTCTGTCCTCCTTGCGCCTCCAGGCCTGCACGTCCACCTGCCCATCCCTGCCTTGACTCTTAGGGGGAGGTAGCCATTGGCTTCTTGGGCCTTCCCCACTCCTGTGCTTTCAGTCATGCTCTCCCTCCCTCACAGGGAAGCCTAAGGGCCTGGCACGTGGGTGTAGAGCTGAACAGGGAAGTAGAGGAAGAGCCAAGACACTGAAAGGAGGCAGGAGGGAGTGGAAACCAGCAGGCCCAGATACCTGCCCGCCCCCCACCCCGCCCCCTCCCTCCCTGACCCTCACCCCCTATGGCCAGATGGACAGACCTCCCTCGCCCTGCCATCCCCCGGTGCTGGCTCCACCAGGACTGTCCACACCTAAGCCCACTGAGACCAGCCATCCCGACATCCACATCCTGTGGTGAGGAGCCTTTGGGCCCCATGGGCTCTGCCCTGGCCTGGGACACCTACTTGTGCTCGCCATCTCTGCCTCCCTTGGTCTTCTCTCTGCCTTTGCTGAGTAGGGGGAAGAAACGAGGAGACAAGGGGAAGTGAGTGAGAGGGTATGGACCAGAGACACTTGCAGACTTAACCCCTGGCCCTGTGCACCCCCCACTCCCCAGGGGGCTCCTTGTTCCTCACCCCACAACTTCTCACTTCAGCCTAAGCCTGCTGGGCAAGGAGTGGATGGTCCCAGGCTCTGCCCTGGTCACAGGAGTGGGGCTGGGTGGCCACTCTCCCAACCCTAAGCCCAGGAGAACCTGGAGCCTTGATGAGGGAAGAGGCCTCAGGGTATTGGCTGCTCTCTTCCATTCCCAGGCAAGGGTCTGGTGATTTCTAACGTGGGTCTCAGATGCCTCAGGGAAAGCAAGGTTAGATGAGCCTGGCCACCCTCCAGGCCTGGGCCACCTTGCTCCTCCCCACCTCCTCCCCTGATCTCCTCCAACGGAGTGGCCAGCTCCCAGGCTCTGAGGGCCTCCAAGAGGAAAGGTGGGCCGGGGAGATTCTGGGCACTTGGTAGTAGAGAGCTAGCACTCTGGGGCACAGGGCAGGGTAAGAACAGTGCTCTTCTCCCTCTTTAGGGAGGTTTTCAGAAAACCCTTCTGTAATGTTCTCTCAATGCTTCCCTGATGCTGTGGCAATGAGGATGAAGGAAAGAAAGCAGACAACAATTAGTGATTTTTTTCCCTCTCCGTGCTCTGCACTGGCCTGGGCCTTGCCAGGTAGACATGACTTCTGAGCCCTGATAGCTCAGAACCTGAAGGCCTAGATAGATCACGGCTGAAGTCCAGCTTTGGCCAGTGATCCTTTCCATTAGGCAAGCTGGTCAGTCTGTAATTCTTTTCAAAGTAGTTAACATCAGCCTGGTCTCCGGCTGTCGAAATCGGCTGAGACCACTGATCAGAGAATAGCCCACTGTAGAAAAGGGGAGATTGTCTCAGCAGCCTCGTGATGGCCGCAGGCCTGGCTGGTCTTGGGGGCAGGCAGGTCAGGCGTGGGCCGTGGGCCCCACTGGGACCCGGTGAGAGCTGCATGGGGCTTGCTCCAAGGAGCTTCTGGGAACGAGGGCTGAATGGAAGATTTACTGGCCCCACCCTCACACTAATCCAAACAGGGCTGCCTTTTTCTGAGTTACAAATCCAAGTTTTGAGGGAAGTTTGTTTATTATTTTTAAAAGAACTCTGTAACCCTGAAAAGTTTGAAAAGCACTGCAATAGAGGAACCAGAAGGGGAACTGTATCATCTAGGATTGGCCGAGGATGGAACAGGAAGGGGGAATTTATTTACCTGAAAAATAAAACATGATGCTTTTTCTCTTTCCCTCTGGGTTTTCCTCTGAAATCTCAGAGAGGTGTCAGGCTGGCCCAGTGGGGGAACTGCTCAGGCACAGAGCAGGCCAAGGCCCAGCATGCACCTGTGCTCGGGGCCCAGCACACACTGCCTGGCCCATGCCCGCCATGACCCTTCCCCACATGTTCCGGGCCTCTGGCCCTACAAAGGGGCTGCATGCAGGCCCACAGTCTGAGTGTGGAAATGGAGAAGGGAAAAGAACTATCTTCCTGTGAAAAAATAATCCTACAACCCCTATTAGGACTACAACTAACAATAATAAAAGCTTCAAGGTTCTGTGCTCAGCCTGCCCTCAGTCACTCAGCCATAAGTGATATGGGTGTGATGTGGCCTCTGTCATTGTTGAGAGGGGTGAAGCCCTGGACCGCTCTGACTTTCCTCCTAGAATCCACGTTGTGGTTTTAGTGTCCCGCTTTGGCCAGGTAAGTCCTGTTCCTCAGCCAGCATCCTCTCTCTCTGGGCCTTGGTTTCACACGACCTCTCCCTCACACCCCATCCCCATTGCTCTGGGTGTGCCACTGAGAGCAGCCACAGGGTGGGAGATCCAATATGGCAGCCCACTGGGGAACTCTAGGCTTTGCTGGGACCCAAGTGCTTCATGGCGCCAGGCTTCACTCGAACACTCGGGCCTGGGCCGGGGATGGAGGGGAACCCTGGCTCCTCTATGCGTCTCTGGAGCTCAGCCTGGGGAAGGGAGGCAGGGAAGAGATCATGGGAACTGGTAGAGCAGCACTCTGGGGGCAAGGCTGGCTGTGCCGACCCCATGTACACCTCAGGACACACACCGTGCAGATACCCTATTGCCCTCTGACCCCAAGTACAGGAGTGTGGGGCTACCTAGCTTCCATGGATTTCTGCTGGAGTGGAAGAATGATTCATAGGGAGAACAAGAAAAGTGGTTCCCCCCTTGCTTTCCCAAGATGAGACCGAGCAGAGAGGAGCCCAAAAGGAACCTCCACCTTCTCAGACAGGGGTGCCGGGTGGAAGGAGGTGGGGCCGTGCAGGGCAGGAGGCCAGGCAGGTGGAGAAAATGAGGAGAGAGAGTCACAGAACAGAGGGAATCTGCAGGAAAGCCCCAAGAGAAGCTGCAAGATTAAAGGTGGGGCTCCCTTCTGTTCTTCTGGGCTGTGGCTCCTAAAGGCACCGCCACAGCAGAGCCCAGAACCCAGTGGTGAGCGCAGCGCCCTGGCATCACACAGAGAGAACGTACATGCACGTGAGTGTGGGCAAGCACCCGGGCACTGTGCGTGCACATACGTGTTCGGGGCCAAAGTCTCCTCTCCCTTCAGAGCCTGGGGCAGGTGTATCCTGACCTGCAAGGCCCAGAGCCCTGATTTTGTGCTCCTGAGAGCAAAGTGCCCGTGGAGTTAGTGATTCATTCCTTCTCGGCAACGCTGATCGCTGTGGGAGGTGAGGGGACCCCGTGAGCCAGTGAGACCTGCCCCGGGCCCAGGCTGCTGTGAAGCCCCAGCTGTCGGCAGCATTGTCAGCAGGACCCTTGGTACAGGGTGGGGTGGCCAGAGCCGGGGGGGGGGGACCTTGATAACAGGGCCTGGGCCCAAAGGTCACATGGTGCTCAGGGTGGAAGCTGGGGTGGGTGACACGGAGACTCTGGAAAGGAAGAAGGAATCAGACACTGGCTGAGCGCCGACCACACGCCAGGTCCCTCAGTGGGCGACCCACATGTAGCATCTCATGTGATCCGAACACTCCTAAGGGGCATTAGGGATGCCCCTCTTACAGGTGGGAAAGTGTGGCTCTGAAGAGCAGAGCTAGGATCTGAGCCCTGTGCTCTCCATGGCATTGCACAGCCTTCTGGAACACTCCCAGGGTGTTTTACAGAGAGCTGG